ACCCACCCCTTCCCTTATTAGGGGTAGGTCAGGACCACTTAAGCTTTTCAATGCTGAACTGATTTTTGCTTTTTCCTGGCCATAGTGCTCAGGCGATCGATGTGGCCCATGGGCCTCGTTATTATGGCATTATATTAGATTTTGTACATAAATATGGTAATTTTCGTAATCATGTGCTTGCACATGTAATTAAATCTGATTTGCTTATGCTCACTGTGCTATATTTGCATTGTTATTTCAGCAAAAACTTTTGAAAATAAGTTGATAAAGTCTATAATACAAAGGTTTTGCTTAATTTGTTGAAGAGAAGTTATAATTATATAGAGAATTGAGCCCCAAAGGTAGTAGGGAGAGCGTTTGGGGAACATCTGTAATGGTCTCAGTTACACTTACAACTACCCATATCGAAAATGAATACAAAAATAATACAAGAAAAAAATACTAAAATAATACAAAAAAAGTATATTTTTAATGACCAAATTTGGAACCCTCTAAATCTTGGTTCCAATTTAGGTCAAAAATAATAGACTTTTTAAAAGCCAAACACAGAAAAATATATTTTTAATATACTTTATTTTTTCGAAATAATACAGAAATGATACACATGACCTGAAAAAACGTATTGTTTTTGTACTTTTGTATTATTTCTCTATTTTCCTCTCCAAAGTATAAAAATAATACAGTCCATAGAAAAGTATAGAAAAAAATACAGAATGTATTAATTTTGTATTAGCATATATTATTTTTGTATTTTTTCACCTTTAAGAATTAAAATACAAAAAAAATATAGAATATATTAATTTTGTATCACATATATTATTTTTGTATTTTTTCATCTGGATAAATTAAAAGTACAAAAAAGATATAAAATATGAAAATAATACAGTACACAAAAAAAGTATGAAAAAAATATAGAATGTATTAATTTTGTATTAATTTGTATTGTTTTTGTATTTTTATCAGCATGAAGGATTTTATTTCAAAAATATCAAAAAAGTACAAGAATGATAGACAAAAAATACATTTAAATGCTTAAAATAATACAAAACAGAGTTTTAAAAACTACAAAAATGATCATGGGCAAAAATTGTTATTTGAAGAAAAGGGGTTGGAGATTGAGGTTCTTAATAGCATCTATTGATTGTTATTCAAAAATCTTTTATTTATTTGAAATATTTGTTAAATAACAATTTTAGTAACTCAGTCAGATTACCTTCAATGTACAAATAGCTAATTAAAAAGTAATTAATGTGGCCAGGCTACTGATTCAGCTACCAATTGTAGTCTTTCTTTTTACATATAATCTGCTCTTCAATAGTCTTGATATTTTTCACAAGTTTAACTAATCCTGTTTTCTTTGTATTTTTACCACATGTTTCGATCTCTCTGCTTTGCTGTTTCTTTTGTATGGAAAAGGTAGAGGAGTGTTTACTTTGTTGCAGAAGTCCATCTTCAAATCACAAAACCTGTCATCTCATCTGACTTCATCACTGTGAAATATAGAACAGAATGATATAATGATAAAATTTAATGAACCATTACCTCAACAAAACACACATTTTCACATCCAAAATAATTCTATATAGATTTTGTTTAGCTCACACACCTGCAATACTTTCTTGAGAGGGATCTTCTTCCTCCATGACTAATCAGCTTTTCTTCAATGTTCTGCTGACTAAAATTAACAATAAATATAAATTGAAATTCCAAAAGATCCAGCGGAGTTCACCAAATTCCGTACAATTGTACCATTGAAATTACTTTTCTTTAATCTGGGGTGTCTTAGGGGACAACCATTTGATTTGACAATCTGGAGAAGAAAAAGGGGGGGGGGGGACTGATTTATAAAATATTTTTAAAAAAATATTTGTAATAAACAATCTGTCCTTGAAAATGTTGAAAGAGTAAACAAAATGTGTGCCCCAATGTTATTTAAATAAACTGCCCCCCCCCCCCCCCCGAACCCAACCTACCCCCCCCCCCCCCCCCCCCCGAAAAAAAATTGAGTTTATACAAATTACAGAATTGTTTTTGAAGGGAAAATAAATAATTCGTCTATGGTAAACTTGAAAAAATTGGAATGAAACAGAACTAGGAAGCCAAAGGCTTGAAAATTACCCCCATCTTCCACCCCTCTCTCCCCAATCAGAATTTATCACAAAAACCCTTGTTCCCCATATGGCCAATAACCGTACTATTTTATCTTTCTACAATACTACAAAATGGGTAAAAAAGGCATTCTTTGTTCCTCTATCTTTGTACTAAGTTATTATTTAAAAAACTGAAACTTTAATGTGCTAAAATATACATAATCTTACCGCAACTGTCGTTGTTTACACCAGAAAAGTCCAGATATGATGCCTAAAAAACGTCGGTCTCCTTATGTATTTGCTTTCCTTGGTTCATATATATGATCCTGTGTACCATTATTATGCTGCACTTCTGTTTTTCAATCCATTTTACTCGCGAGCAAATGAGAGTTTATTCAAAATCACCTCCAGCTTTCTCAACACGTCCCGGGAAGAATTTTCAAAATGGCGTGGGTGAAATATTGTTGACCAATCAGAGAACAGTACGGAAGAGTTTTAAAATCTGACCAATCATATTGTGTCACATATACGAAAATTACCGATGTTGAGATCGGAAGAGTTAGAGAAAACATATTTACATGGTTTTAAATATCTTGAATCAATTGAACAAACCTAAAATTATGTTAGAAAAAAACGATGTTCAATTTAATTATCAGAATCATTTTTTATTCCTTACGGAATTTACCGATAACGAAACATCGTTATTTCCGGTCATCATTTCCGCTGAGAGCAGCCATTTTTATATTCAAGTTGACCTGTGAAGTAGACCATAAAGTTCAAATATAATGATCAAAACGAGCGGTAGATACATAATATATAGCCTTTTTGATGGACAACTTAACTCATACATACGGTACCAGAGATTGAAATAATGTTTAACAACTATCCTTTACACCAATTTCACAACATTTTCTATATTATTTTATGATATTCTTTCGTAATAATTTCTTATTTAATTTTTTTCTTAAAGCGGATAATTAAATAGTTCTATTCCATGTAATTGTAATACATACTGAATTAAATATAATGTATACTACGTTGAGTTGTATAGTCAAGAAAACATCGTAGGTACTGTATTTAGTGGAACTCTTCATGTTGTTTGTTTTTGTTTTGGTTTTGGTTGGGATGTGTTTTCACGGGTAAATCATGTTATTTCTTTGAGTAGTATAACATGTACTCGTCTATTGTTAGCCTGCAGGTGGCCACCTGTGCTGTTGGCGATAGTTGTAAACACTCGGTTGTAAACACGCTGTAAAATTTTCAACACAAAAAGAAAGTCTGAAACTCTGAAACTTCAAAATTTACCGCGTGAATACAAGTATCATGTACAGCACAGGTGTCCCCTTAGACGTATCTATCTCTTTCCAAATGACAATTTCACACCTAGTAAAGACATGTTTTAAAAATGAAATTGTTTAGTTAACAAATTTAAACTACTGAAGTTTTCTGTTCTAAATAGCAATTAAATGTAAATAGTATAAAAGCAACCTTTATAGCAGTGGTCTTAATTAATAAAATCTGAGAAAAAATATTAATTCCAACAGACTTATTGCAAGAACTTCTGTAAATTTTCCTAAGTTCAAAGAAATACAAATTTCAGTAAAAGAAAACACTAAGTCCAAAATAAATATAAAAAAAATACATACTGACTGTATAGTATTTTTTGAAAAATTATTAAGTCCAAATTTAATACAAAAATAATACAGACTAACTGTATGTAATTTTCTGTAAAATTACTAAGTTCAATTTTAATACAAAAATAATACAGATTAACTGTATGTAATTTTCTGTAAAATTACTAAGTTCAATTTTAATACAGAAAAAAATACACTTGAAAAAAACTAAGTCCACAAAAATACAAAAATGATATACTGAAAATAATCTAAGTCCCAAAAAATACAAAAATAATACCCTGTAAAAAATCAAAGTCAGATTTTAATACAAAAATAATCTACCTATTTGTTGGTGATACAAAAATAATATATTTTTTCTGTATTAATTTTAAACAATACGAAAATGATTGTATTAAAAATATATTAAAAATATACTTTTATGTATTATTTTTTGATATGGGTAGTCAAATTTGTATGTAAATTTACCACAGAAATTTCAAGTAAACAGGCAAAGGCATATGGCTCTGCTAATCTGCCCAGATTCTTTACATTGGAATCTATAAAAAAGGCATAAGGTTACTCATGTGAGTGTGTGGCCCATGGGCCTCTTCTTATTTAATGAGAAAAGTCTTCTCCATGCAAAACAGTAGGGCCGTGTTGATCATATTGATATTGAAACAAACCAATGTGTGTAATCAGGTATAGTAAAATCTCTAAATCCATTGGTGCCACAATATGGGGTCAACATATTTACCTTGGAATAAAGATGGAAATTTAAAATAGAAAAATCTTCTGAAGAACAGCAGGCCAAAGTGACTTAGTTGAGCATTGTGGCCCATGGGCCTTTTGTAAGCTAGCCTGAACCAAAGGTTCTTCACATTGTGTGTTATTCAATAATTCAGTAATACAAATTCAGTAAAGTCATGAAACCTTGATGATGGGGTGAACTGTAATATATGATTATAATTTTTCAAATACTAAAAGAGGGGAAGCATATTTTTTATAACCTGAAGAAAAGCAAGTAAGCCTGGTGGCCTCTGGCTTATTTATGTTGAATTATTTTGATAACATTTAGTCTTAAAACATACATTTACTCATGTCTATAAAAATGAACATTTAAATGAAGGTTTTTTGCAGCTGAAATTTGTACATAAACATCTAAATGTTTTTAAAATATATAGCCACTTTTAAACAAACAAATGAGAATCGCCAGGATTTTTTTGGGGGGGGGGGGGGGGGGGTCATTTAGAGTCATTGGTTATCATTATATTATTGTGTGAATTATCATCTTTTTCAGTTATCCAGATTACACATTTATCAGTGACCCTGCTGCTACCTTATCTGCTGGGCTGAACAGACGCTACTCTGATGAATCCTTAAGGGGGGTAATTCTGGATATTCATTTCCTGTCGCTGTGTGACCATTTAGTTTGTACCTTTTCATCACAGGTGAGAATAACATGAAAGTTAGGGCAGTCAAACATCAGAATATCTTTCTTATAACATACAGCAAAATAATTACACAATTATAAGCTTAAGTTTAGATAAAGTTAATTTTTAACAATCATGACGGCTCATCAACAGTGATAAGAAACAGTGTTTTTTTTTTCCCTTATATAACTGGTACTAATAAATCGTACCATTCCCAATGCCAAAAAGTATTAATTTTTTTCCCAATTTTGAGACTAAAAATTCCCAGTCCAACTGTTTTAAGAACAAAGTGCGATGACCTAGAAATACTGTACAAGTTGACTCTCACTTCCTCCTTAATGAAAAGTAGACATCCCTTCGTAAAATGGCAAGACACATGTTGGAAATAGCCTATAGTTCCTTAAATTTTTGACAACGTAAGAACAAAGGACATTAATATGCAAAGCAATGATTGCTTGTTTATTCTTTATAATGTGCAATAATAGTTAATTAATTAAGAAATAAGGTATCATTTTTAAACAAGTATCAGGCTATAAATACGGGTTGATCACGAGATCAAATTCCATAAAGCCTGCGCCCGAAGTGCTTTATAGTAAATTTGATGATCGTACCAACCAGTATTTACATGTATATCCCGATAGATGTTTTAAAATGATACCTTATTACTTTAAATTATTTACATTTGTGACTTATTCATATTTTATATTTGCCTGATTATAATCTTTAACATGCGAAATGTTTTATTTTTTAAACTCAACGGAAGAGTTTGATCTATTGATTGCATGTCAACCCTTATGATGTCACTGGGAAATTACGTTGAACATTTATGACGGGAGGAACCTGTATTTTTAGGGATATAGATACACATTGCTTTCAATAGTGTTATATAAATGAAAACATTTGCAAATGTAAATATGTTAGAATAAAGGTAGAATAAATGTACTTTGTTCTTGTTACAGAAAATTCCCCTTTGATCTATCTTTGTCTATTTCGATGCTATTTTCCCATTTGAATCGGTACAGTACCCATTCCAATCGGTAGAAAAAAATCACTGAGAAAGTTAACTGAATTATGTGTTTTGCTCCTCTGAAGGCCTGAGAGTTTGAGGCCAAAGCCCTAAAAAGTTATCTCTAAAAAATCTACTCCTGGAAACATAGCAGCGGAATGGTATCATATTAAGGGGTATTATTTATCAAAATTATGTAATTCATTACTCTTCATTAAGTAGGGGTTCAGGCTGTATGGCATGGCTGCATGAAGATAAAAGATCATTAATATAATTATATGTGTATAACAATGAATTTACCTAATTTGTATCATTGCCGTAAAATTGGATACATTTCAGGTGTGTCGTGTGGCTTATGAGATGATGCAGACAATGCATGGTGATGCAACGAGTAATTTTAAATCTCTGGATGACATTTACTATTTTGGTGGACAGAATGGACACAGTGTAGAGGCTGTGGAAAGACATGTCAAACAAAATGACCAAGAAATAGATCTAGAACCAGGTGATATGGTAGGCATTGCCGGAAATCATTGGGATGGGTATTCTAAGGGTATGAACCACAGGACAGGGAAAACAGGTCTCTTCCCTTCATATAAAACCCGAGAAAAGTACACAATAGTGGATTTACCTAAATATCCAGAAGTGTCTGAAGATGGATGATAGAGAATGGAGTTATAGGCAGATTAATGTTTTATTTATATATTGGTTTTGTTCAGTGATTTGGATTGGATATTAGTGAATTTAATGTGTACATGATTTCCACTAATTTTGAAAACCAAGGGTCATTATGACCCTTTGAAGTTCTTTTTTGGGAGTCAAAAAGAATTTCTGAGGGTCAAAATATATTATGGTTATGCTTTCAGTTCTTATAGTAGATATGCTTCCTTACATCATGTTTAAAAAATGAATGTTAAATATTATTGAACTTATCACTTGTTTACACATTTTACCAATTCCGCAATTTGGATTTTTCGGAATACACATCAATCAAGAAGCAAAATCTGAAAGTTGTTTGAATGTTATGCAAAACTGTTCATCAATGAATTGAGCTTTGCTCACCTTTCTGTTAAAAACATCAGCCTTTCTGACAAAGCCAAACTGAAATAAATATGCTGATTTCAAAACTCAGACAGAAGTGATATTTTTTATTTGGACTTCCGGTTATGTTAAGAATAGGATAGATTCTTTGAAAATTTAAACAGATTCTTGACATTAAAATGTAATTCCAATCACTGCCAATTTATTCCCAGAAACTTTGATTAATATTAATGTAAGTTAATAAACTAGTGTCATCCAGGCAACAACCTTGAACTCAATTTTTTAAAAAATTTTCTGCATCATAATGACCCTTTAGGTGATGTTTTAGGGGGTAAAAAGTATTTTTTATGTGTAAAATATGCAGAAATTTGCATTAACGCAGAGCTCCAGATAAGGTGCGTATTTGCAGATATATGCATTGAATTTTTCAAAATACGCATTAAGAATTAAAACAGGGCGTACAATTACGCATTAGCAATCATAAATAAGCATTACACTACGAAAGTACTGCGTACAACAGATTGAATGATACAAGTACGATATAACTAATGTGAATTGAGGTTAGCTCAGTGTTCAAATTTTTATCAAAAGGAAATTTTGATGTATTCGGAATAACCTAGGCTGATTTCCAGATCGGGAGAATGATTTGATTATTAAATACGCATATGATTCCATGGTATGCAACATTTCTACATCTTTTTTCTTGATTTTAATTTGGTGAATTTCAGTGGTATATTAGTAGCTAATTAGCCAATGCAACTTCTTAGGTCTTTCTGGCAGGGCTCAAATAAACACCTTAAAATGTATTAACATCACTGGATGTTAAAATTTTGTAAAAAATTGAGTTGCTTCCCTTCATTTGAAGTATTGGCTAGATAGAGTATATGATCTCTTCTGTAGTATTTAATAGGTTGTATCATTGAATTTAATGAAGTTTAGCTTCACACTATACAGATAAGAAAATTTCAATGTTTAGAAAAGGGAGGTTGTCATGGATGCCTTTGTAATACATATGAGGTGGTTTTTCGGTTTGTCAGAAAGGCAAGAGAGTTTTTGATTGGCAAATTTGAATAAAATTTCATGAAAGGAAACCTTTGCATATTTTCAAATTGAAAAAATTTCTGTGAATCCTGTTGACTAAATAACGTTACTGTTAAAAAAAAAACGTTCGGGGCATTCAAAATTACTAAAAAATGAAATGGTATGAAAAAATGGGATACTTCTTTGGTGCTGATATCATATCAAGAATATGCAGACTTTTCTTCTCTGACATGGAAAAAACATTTTTTGGTTCACCTGTATTTTTGTCTGATAACATTCCAATACATGTATTGCATTTTAAAAGCTATTCTTTAGTTTAAAGTAAAGATTCTTCTAGCTATCTTTACTTCAAGTTCTGCATTTTTTTATGCCTTGAGTTTGAAGATTGGTACATATTGTTTTTGTACTGTCTGAAACTCTAACATTTTTTCATAATTTTTAATTTTCCTTGTAACCTTTGAACCTTACAAGTTAGAGACTCTTTGACAAAACTGTAATACTGGAGAGTTTAACCATGACCTTGACATTTTGGCAGTCTGAAGGTCTCTGGCAGAAAAAAAGTGTATAATTCATGTCTGATCCTTTTCTCTTCAATGGAGAAATATTGTGGCATGATACATGACAAAAAATTTGATTTATTTTAAGCAAGTTAGGGTCTCTTTAGGAAAAAGTTTCTGGTTTTTAGCTCTTCTGAGCCGATGGCTCAAAGCCATTTGTGCGGTGTGCGTAAACTTTTTAGAATATGGGCCATAACTGAAGAACCCCTGGGCCAATTATTGTCAAATTTGTCACAGGGTATCCTTGGCCCAAGGGCTCTCGTTTATACTAAAACTAGGGTTGTGACCCTTAAACAAGAGGAAATAATTAGGAAAATAGAAACAAAAGTACTGGTTGTTAAAAAATCTTCTTCTCAAGAACCACTGGGCAGATTATCACCAAACTTACGCAAAAGAATGAGGATATGTTGTAGATTAAAATTTGCACAGGGATTTACCCTGGGGCAAAGGGCGTGGCCTCAAGGTCACTTCAAATTTGACCAAAAATTACATTTTATTAAAATGTTGATATTTTGCTTACTTTAAGGTCTAGGATCATTAAATCTTGTCAGTTGATGTATCTAAGGACCTCATATCATGTTGTCACAAAAGTAGGTCACAGTGACCTACCTTTTGAACTTTGCAGGCATTTGATTAAAAAGCATTTTAGAGGCATAATTTGGACATTTTAAGGCCTATAATCATAAAACTTTGTAAGTTAATGCGTCTTGGGTCCTCAAAAAATGTCAACTGAAAAGTAGGTCACCGTGTCCTACTTTTCAATTTATATGACTATAATTTTACTTTGTCAGTTGATGCATCTTTGGTCTTCTGAGTAGGTCGACTGAAAAGAAGGTCACTGTGACCTACTTTTGAAAATTTATGGCTTTAATAAAATATTTCGGGTACTAATTGGCTTAGAATCATCAAACTTTGTCAAATTTGTCAAGTTGATGCATCTTGGGTCCTTGGAGTATGACAACTGAAAAGTAGGTTAATTACCATGACCTACCTTTGAAATTTTATGGCTGTATTTAATATTTTCGGGTACTATTTGGCTTAGAATCATCAAAATTTGTCAGTTGATGCATCTTGGGTCCTCGGAGTAGGTCGACTGAAAAGTAGGTCACTGTGACCTACTTTTCAATTTATATGACTATAATTAAATATTTCGGGTACTAATTGGCTTAGAATCATCAAACTATGTCAGTTGATGCAACTTGGGTCCTCGGAGTAAGTCAACCGAAAAGTAGGTCACTGTCACCTACTTTTGAAAATTTAGGGCTTTAATTAAAAATTTCAGGAACTAATTGGCTTAGAATCATCAAACTTTGTCAATTGATGCATCTTGGGTCCGCAGAGTTAGTCGACTGAAAAGGAGGTCAATGTGACCTATTTTTGAAATTTTATGGCTTTATTTAAATATATCAGATACATTGGCTTAGAATCATCAAACTTTGTCAGTTGATGCATCTTGGGTCCTCAAAGTATGTCATCTGAAAAGTAGGTCACTGATACCTACTTTTGAAATTTTATGGTTATAATTTTAAAAATATTTAAGGTATTAATTAGCTTAGAATCATCAAACTTAGTTGATGCATCTTGGGTGCTCAGAGAATGACAAGTGATAAGTAGGTCACCATGACCAACTCTCAGGTACTAATTGGCCTAGAATCATCTTGGGTTCTCAGAGTGTTTCATCTAAAATGTAGGTCATGATGACCTACCTCTGGAATTTCAAGGGTGTATCTAAATATACAGGATACTTAGAGGCTTCAAATAGAAGTGTTAGGCTGTACAGTTTATCAGAAGAGCGATTCAAGGCCCTTGGGCCTCTTGTTACTATATACAAAGATTACTTATGACTTGAGGGTGTGTTATGATATCAACTCGGGATAATTTTTTTCAAGTTCTAGGTTACTTGCAGCATAAGATTTTATTTCTGTTTAGTTCACAACTCTTTAAAGGAAAAATATAGGAAAATATAAAGTTGATACACAATGTTTAAAAATATTAGAAGTTGATTCACAAAGTTTACCTATGACCAGAGGGTGTGATATAATCTTGAACCAAAGTCAGTTTGGCAAGTTCAAGGTCAATTTTAGAAGAATGTATAATTTCTGTCCTGGCTTATCTTAAAAATGGAGAAACATTGGAAGCTGTTTCTTGGCACAAAGATTTTTCTTCAGCTGAGGTTGTGTTAAGACCTTGACCTAAGGTTATTTAGACAAAATCAATGGCAGAAGAATCATCAAACTATGTATGTCATTAGAACTGGCCAGTCTTTGGACATTTGTGTGTACATGTTTCAAATAAATCTTGTTGATCTTTTTAGGTGACCTCGGTCATTCAGATGACCTAATGCTATCTGTTTTTGTCTTTCATTGTTTTTTGACAGTCTTTCATCAGTCATAAACTTTTGAAATTTTCAGCTTCCTCTCTGAAACCATGTAACCAATTTCAACCATAAACATCCATGGGCAAAGAGGAACAAAAAAATTTGAATTTCATGCCCCCCCCCCTTTTGGGGACCATGGGGGTGAGTGCAGTCTTTAAAAGTCTTCTTTACTCATGGACATCAAGCAGTCAAATTGTTGGCATGATTTTCATTAGCACTGAGTCCTCTACCAAAATTTTGAAATTCATGGTGACAGGGTCAGGGGTTCTGGTGTAGGTTTAGGGCATTATTAATCATAATATTGAAAATGCATAATTTTTTGAAAAAAAAATCATCTTCTCTCCTTTTGTATAGCAGACAAACTAAGTGCATGGTTATTATGGACAAGGGTGTCTCTTTCAAAATTTTGAATTCATGGCCTCTTGGTCAGGGGTTCTGGTGTTAGGATAGGTCTCTGTTGATTCTGTTTTGAAAATGCATTAATTCCTTGAAAAGCTTCTTTTCCTGGTATCTAGGAGGCAAACACAGCACAAAGTTGTAATGAGCAAAAGAGTTTTTACAGATTTGTTAAAGTCCTGACCATGGTGGTCAAGGGTTTTGGTGCTTGACAGGGTTCTATTGATTAGGTAGCAAAATTTGTACTACATTTTAAGGTATGTCACTCATGAGATGAGTTATATCAAGGATTTTTTGAGAAGTATATATTTAGGTAACTATATATATATATATTGCATGACTCAAAATTTCAAAGAAAATAGGGTGTCAGTGTGCATCTAACTGGCTATGGTACAATTAATTTGATCTTTTGCAACTTTAAGGTTAATTACTTTCACCTTTATCGTATTTTACCAAATGTAATCATGGCAGTAAATAGATTCTTATTTTATGAAAATACAGTACAAGCAACGCGGATCCCGTATTTCCCGCGCCCCGTCGCGGTATAAACACAACGCGGGATTTGGCCAGGTGAGACAGGTAAACCGCGTTCCCTCCGCGGGAAATTCATCACCTACCTGTCCCCGCCGCGGTTAAATCATCGATCAATTTGTATCGTAAACAAATGCGAGTTATCTCCCCGAACAGGAATTTTGCGAAATTCCCTCTTTAAAAAAAAAGACTTAAGATCCGCAGTGTATGTATATTTATGAAAGTATTTTTTTTTTTATTTTGCAGCAGTGAGATGAAAATAGTGAACATACTCAAAAAAAAAAAAAAAAAAAAGCAGAAGATTCTTCAAACGTTTGGTTTTTTTTAAAAATTATTATCTATATTTTAATT